AAAAGGTTTTCTGCACACCCTCTGCAGACCCCAAGGAGGTTGGAAGTATTTCTGATCGATTCGTTATAATAGATTATCTATACACTATCAATTTTATTACCCGTAGACCACTTTTTTTGTATTGTCACAGTTGACTGCTATCTGGCGACATCTACTCCCGGCCCACAGAAAACGGTTGCCACCAGAAAGACAGTATAACAACCAAACAATTATCCCGCAGTACTCTTTATACTAAGTAAATTACACTTAAAGCAAGAGCTAGCGTAAGCTTGACTGGTGTTTTGGAAAATTAGTGAGTTTGGTCAACTTTGCAACCAAACTAGCCTTTGAGAAAAAACAGGATATTTTCGCTAATGCTGTTTTGAGAAATTTATACTCGTTCAGCATATTCTATACCTCTAAGGACAATATATTATAATACAGAAAGGAAGTCGTAATATGAGAAAACCAATTCAGCTTACTTGTCCAATAATAATTAGATAACAACTGATCGCGCCATAAATTTGGTATATTGAAAAAGAAATCATACGAACGTCCAATTAAATGATTAATCTAGGAAACAACAAAAATGTGCTTATTGTGTCTCTATCAGAGACTTTTGTTTTCTATTCGAAAGCCTCTTTTGATGGTCATTTTCACGCATTTCCAGTTATGAACACAAAGTAGCCTTAACCTTAGAAAAATAAAACAATCCAGACTAGCATTCTAAATCAAAGCTAATCCTTGTTTAACTGTTGTATATTCTAAATTCTTGAAAAGTTAAAGAGTTACAATGAACTTTAAAAAATATAATAGCAAAAATGATCCCGTTTTTTTTTTCATGAGATAAAAATGCTACTAAAAGCAAAAAATAACGGATAAGATCTCTCTTTGTCTAGTCAAGAAAAACATGATATAACTAAATGTTGTATAGTCTGATATCTACATACGTTTATACCTACACCTCAAGTAGTATTTACCTCTTGAGGCTCAGAATCTACATTTGAACACGAGCGCGCACCCGTAGAACACTTTCAAAAACTATCGAATAGTGAAGTTTTTGGAAAAGGTATTCTCGAGAGCTCAAGGTTAATGAACTACTAATTGAATCATAAAAGAATTTAAATACCCGGAATGTTGTGGTGTCTTCTTCATGTTCCATAACACAATTAGATACTAAAATTTCAAAGCCGTTTCCACTTTCGGCACGTTGAATGGGTGTTGCTGGTGTGTCCATATTATCATTTAACTTGCCAGCAAGATGATAAAATAACCAATGAACGATTTCATGCAATATTTTAATGGCAAGTAACACAGCAACATTTTTTGTTCGTTCGACTGTCATACTTTCGTCAGCATGTTCTATTAACTAAAAGTAAAGTAACCCAAAAGTGTTTGAAACAAAAAGAATATAAGGTACAGCTAATGCAAAAATGCAGTGAAATTTTGTTTTGCCTCTATTATACATATTCTGATTCGTTGGAGCGCGATGATCACGAATATCACCTTTTTTTTTAGTTTAGACGGAGTTTTGACGGAGAATAATGCAAAATACTGAAAAGATCTCAAAAATCGCAAAACCATTGGTTTTTCAAGAAACCTCCATAACTATTTTTGGAAGAGAGATAGACGACTGGAGTTTTCAGCTTTTAATTCCTTGACTCTTGCTCTATCTAACCAGGTGTCATTCATAGAGTTTCTATGAAAATTAGATGTGTGGCTGAATTTCCAACAGAATGGGCCTAAAAATGACACCTTCACTTTCCAATCTCTACTAGTTTTTTGTATGAAGTACTAGACCCTTGTGTCGTACATGGTTAGACAGATCATCGAGCGGACAACAAAGTTATATGTTTACATTTTTGAAAAAAATGTTTTGTTTTGGGGCAAAATCATTTTCTTTTTTGCCATAAGGAAGGATATCGGTCATGTGATTTTTGACTAAGTCTCAAATTTTTCGTCCATATGTAATGGAAATGGCGTCAAATAGACTAAAAACGATGGCGAATTCAATGAAAACATTTTTAAAATTTTCAAAAACCATCCAGAGGGTTTTCAGAGACCAAATCTCCAGAAAACCTTGTAAACAATTAAAGTTTTTGAAAATGGTCTAGAACGGTAGAGAATTGAATTCTGAACAAAGTGAGACGTTTTTGAGTCTTATGCGGCTTCCCAGTCAAGAGAAATATTCAAAAAATTGAAAAAGGATTGTTAATCTCAAATTCGATTTTTTAGTTTCTCCACAATAAAACATTTTTTCAAAAATGTAAACATATAACTTTGTTGTCCGCTCGATGATCTGTCTAACCATGTACGACACAAGGGTCTAGTACTTCATACAAAAAACTAGTAGGGATTGGAAAGTGAAGGTGTCATTTTTAGGCCCATTCTGTTGGAAATTCAGCCACACATCTAATTTTCATAGAAACTCTATGAATGACACCTGGCTAGATAGAGCAAGAGTCAAGGAATTAAAAGCTGAAAACTCCAGTCGTCTATCTCTCTTCCAAAAATAGTTATGGAGGTTTCTTGAAAAACCAATGGTTTTGCGATTTTTGAGATCTTTTCGGTATTTTGCATTTTTCCCCGTCAAAACTCGGTCTAAACTAAAAAAAAGGTGCTATTCGTGATCACCGCGCTCCAACGAATCAGAATATGTATAATAGAGGCAAAACAAAATTTCACTGCATTTTGGCATTAGCTGTAGCGATGCACGAATGAACGAACTTTATAATTTAAATAAATCGTGTTACAAGTCTGATCATTTTTCACATATTTGAACATTCCATAAGCATTTGAACCCACATGTCGTTTGATTGCTGCATCAGTAAGAAGTGCAATGGTTGGAGGCTTCTCCAATTGTTTAATTACGGCATCAAGTTGTTCTTGTGTTGGTTCCTGAATGAAAAGCTTCTGACTGCGGGCTTATACAAACAAAACACGTGCACAACGCAAGCATTTTAAGGGTACAGTTTCTCTTTTTTAATGAAAATTTTGATTCTAAGCTTGACATTCCCCAGTACACAACAGGGAGTCATCTTCAGAATGAGATCTCTTTCTTTCCTGTCAAAACCTATAAAGCTTTTAATTTTTTCAAATACCGCCAAAAATTTAGGAAAATTCCGGTTTCTAATGGTTTTTTGTTCTTGACCGAAGAGTAGAAATCTTGCACTCACAAATCTTGTAGACCAAGATGTTTTCTTCAAAATGAGACGTTCTCAGAAGTTGTCAGTTTATTTTGTGTAAAGTTATAAACACATCTCAAGTTACAAAACACTCTCGTTTTATGGCGACACTCTTACGGCACAACTTAAGCTTTGGTTTAAGCTATTTATTTAAATAAATATAAAGTATAGAGTTCTAGTGTTACTAATTCGGCGTTGCCATTATATAGTGAACACAAAGCCTGCAATATAGATAGAAAACAGCATTAAAAATTGAATGAATAAGTTAGTAAATTAGTTAGTAAACAGTGAAATTAATAAAACAGACTGGTTGTTTTAGAATTACAGAGAAGATTTTACAAATAGAAAAACATTTTGGGCTTCAGTAAAATATGGCATACACATTAGAAAAAGAAAAAGACAAGGTTTAGCACGGAAAACTTGTTTAGCTTGTTACAAAACGTTTAGTTTCACATATATAGACAGTAATCGCTTTGTAAACTTTAACATATTGTTCAAAGTTGGAAGAATGAGAAGGAGAAGATAGTAGAAGGATATTCATATCTATACTCAGATCAGGATCACACTCGTGTAATGTGTCAAATAATATATTTCATCTTCGCTATGCTCATATTAATTAAAATTAAATTCAAACTAACTTTATATTCATATGCCGGCGTTGGTACAGAAAATGGAGCGAACAATTTTTGCATAATTGGATGATGAATAAAACGATCGACAATACGAATGGCACTTTAAAATGACAAATTAGAACCAAGTTGATCGATGTCATAATTCCATACTGTTTTTGGCAATGGTCAGTCGGTAATACTGTCGATCGTTAATTTTGATTCTTTTTTACTATGACGAAGTGATGTCTGTCAATGAATGAAAGTAACATTTTTATTAGATCCATAATTCGACAAATACTCACATTAAGTTTACTTTGATTTTCCCATATTTTGCAACCATAATCACAATCATATTCAGTTATTATCCTTTTGCCTAGAGCATGACGTATTTGATAACATGAATTTAATTCATATACTGTTTGATCATTATGTTTTAATTTCGTAAACAGTTGACAATAACATTTTTCATTTATTTCATTTCTTATTACCTGATCCTACGAAAAAAGCATAGGCATGATTTAGTAAGCAAACCAAAAGATACATAAATACTGTTACATCAATAGACGAAAATTGCGTATTGTATTTGATAACTCCAATGAGTATTGATTCGTATTCGTACAAACTGAAGTGAATAAAATAAAACATAGAAAACACTATATATCATATCTATCTTCTCTTTCTTACGGTTTATCCTGTTCTGACTGAACATGAAAATGTGCAAAAATTCGACGTATAAGAGCACTCTTATCTTGTGGATTTAAATTCATTTTAACTAGAGAAAAACAAAGTGTACAAAAATCTGATTCGCAGCTGAGATTGCTGTGAATATATTTTTAATATTCTTATTGTCAGCCAATGGCTGTTGTAACAAGAGAGCTTGGAGTTCAGTGCTGTTATCCTTCTCGATTCGATTTTCTCGTAGCTTAGAGTATGAGAAGACGACAATGAATGGGTGAAACATGTATCTAACGGAACTTGCTGTGTCATTTTACTGCCAACCACCTAAAAGGAAAGACTTCCCAAGTCAACTTTCGCGCCTCAGGCGCGGCGCGATCGCTATTAAATCCCATATATCGCGGCGCGATCGCTAACAAATCTTGTATTCCCATCGCAATCGCGCTGGACTCTTAAACTCGCGCCGTGATCTTGGCCCAATCTTATTTTAAAAAAAGTCTGTTTCTAAGATTCGCTATACTGTCGCTATGTCGCGGTGCGATCTCTATACTGTCGCTATGTTGCGGCGTGATCGCTATAGATTCGCGATTTCGCGACAGACCTTGAAAAGTTATAAATTTTCAAAAAACCAAGTCAATATTTCTTAGCGCGATCACTATGTTATCGCTGTATCGCGGTACGATTCGCGATATGGTGAGTCGAGCTGAGACAATCGCAGATATATAAACAGTAGTATTTGCGTAGTCGCGTCGTGAGTCGCGATTTTTATCGCTGAGTTGCGGTGTAAGTAGAGGAGTTTTAAAACGTCGCGGCGCGAGTCTTGGTTGTTCTGTGTTATACCTTATATTATGTTTCTAAACTTATATATAACACACATAGTGAGAAAAGAAAAGAACAGACCGCCTGTATGTCTGTTGTGCTCATGGTTATGTTGTTCTTTTCTTTTGTCGTTAATCTATCGTATACACGTGTGTATGTTTCATTTTAATTTTAATAATCATTTCTTTTTTGTTATTGCAGTGTTAAGATCACTTTATCGTGTTGTCTGTTGCAGCCATACACTGTTTTCAATTTTTTGTTTTGACATATAAATTTTAAATACTGAATAATATTAAATCTCAAATAATATATAACTAAAATTGTGGTAAGTACACAGCAATTTCAGTCTGTGGAAGCAGAAAAAAAATAAGATTCGTCTATATAGGTTCAATTAGCATGTGGACCGTGTTAGAGAGCTTTAGGGCGCTCAGCGTCAGTTGACAATTTAATCACATTTAAGAAACAGGCTAATGTAAAACGTGTTGTTTGTATCCCAAACTCATTACCAACAACTCTCTCATTCGTGAAGATAATTGTAGAGCCGTATCAAATAAGGGATATCTTCTTTGCTTTTCTGTAGTTCACATGCCTCACATTTCTCCAACAGAAAAAATCTTCTCAAACAGTAATTTAAAAAGTTAAAAACCGAAAAAAAAAGAAAACCAGAAAGCGATCAGATAAAACCTCCAAAATCAGAAAAATTCTGATAAATCAGGAGAGTTGGCAACCCTGGCTGAGAACCATCAAATCGATTAGATGTGACAAGGATAGTTTTTATTAGTTCTCGCGCACATACATTTTATATAGACTGATGAGTCATTTTTGTTATCTTCTTCTAAAAAAGTCGAAAAGAACACGGCATGAAAAAAAAAGAAAACTAAAGTCTGTTTTTTTCCGTCAACGTAGTGGGAAATTCAGTTTTTCTCCAATGGACCCTTGACTTTAGTTTAGGGTATTGCGAAATGATTGTCTTTGTCTGTGCACAAAATACGGAAAAATGGCTGTCAGATATGCCATGGATAAGCCAATCACAACCACAAGACAGAAAAACAGAAAATTATTCTTACACGAGAGGGAGGTGGTGACTACACTGCAAATTTAGTAAGCTACTGCAACAGCTTAAAGTCAGCCATTAATCCGGTCATTTCATAAAGCCGGAGCAATGGCTGAGTTCCACTGCCGAATCGTTATCTAGTAAGCCATCCAAATGACA